GTGCCTTTACCAGCTGCAAGCAGGCGGAGAACGAATCCTTTGACGACTTTTTTGTACGTTTGAAGAGTTTGTCAGAGGAGATCGACGTCTGCAAGGCGCACAGCCGGGAATGTGAGGAAGCCTGGATCAAGCACGGGATCTTGACAGGTGTCAGGCACGAAGAGTTGATGCAGCGACTCATCCCCCTGGACGCTTCCTCCACACTCCAGGTGGTAGTGACTGAATGTCGGTCATACGAGGCCACCAAGTCCGCCACCTCTGCCTTATGGGCCCCACCTGCTGTGAGAGCTATCTCACAATACAAGAAGGATAAGAAGGCAGCCAACAACGTGAAGGCTGCCGCACGTTCTTCCACGCCTCCGCCTAGTGCTTCCTGTGGCAGCTGTGGAAAGCAGCACAGCCCCAAGACTTGCCCGGCCGCCGACGCACTGTGTCGTGGATGTGACCGTAAGGGCCACTGGTCTAACACAGACAGGTGCCCTGCACGAGGCCGCAAGTGTCAGGCCTGTGGTCGCTATGGACACTATGACAAGTGCTGCCGCCAACCCAAGCCCAAAAGCCCGAGACGAGGAGGACAGCAGCGCACTTCCCTCAGGGTGGTTCGCACGCAGCCCCCTCCAGATGGCCCACGCAGCCCCAAGTAGCAGCGGAGTCACATCAGGAGGGTGGAATCGACCACACGCCCCAGGGCTACCCCTGCCCAGATCCTGTATGGTCACCCTCTCCGCTCTTGCGTTCCTACACACGCCAAGGCCTTTGCGAAGGACTGGCAGACCAAAGCCGAGAGCTGCTACCGCCGCACCGCTACACGTGCCCAGGACGCCAAGGCTCGATATGACGACCGTGCCCGCCCTCTTCAGCCGCTGGAGATTGGTGCCCTTGTCCGCGTCCTGGACCCGACGACGACACGTCGGCACAAGGTTGGCATAGTGATGGGCGTCGGCCGGTCGCGGGACTACAAGGTCAGGATGCCGAGTGGCCGTGTCTGGTGGAGGAACCGCCGCTTCCTCTGGCCAGTCCCACCCTCTGCTCCTGGCCCCCTGACCAAAGACGAGTCACCTACACCTCACGAGGATCCGCCCCACAGTGCACCTCGACGCTCGGAGCGACTTAGAACTAAGAAGTCCGCTCAAGACAAAGACTATGAGCGTGAGGGGGGAGGGAGATGTAGGTTATGTATCTAAGCTACTGTGCCGAGTAGCAACCCTGTACATAAGCTACTGTGCCGAGTAGCATTTATATATATAATCACGTGGCAACACTGCACGTGTTATGTGGCAACATTGCCCCGAGGCTGCCATATGGCAAGGCAGCCTCAGTCTGACTGTGTGAGCCGTGCATGGCACACGCTGGTCACCACTTGTATTTCTCTCATCCACAATAAACGGACTCAGTGTTACACAGTGTTTCCCTAGCCATCACTGCATTCTTCAGGGCACACTAGTAACCTTCATCACCCTCCTCTGTATATATACACCTTGGTTTGTATTTCTCTTTAGTCTGTACTCACCCCTGAAGATGTGAATTACACGAAAGCGCTTGGGAACTTCGTGTTTTCTTCTTTCCTTGTGGTTATCAGCATATACCTAGATCACACGCACCTACAGTGATTTACTTGCATAAATGGATTCCACGCGCCACTTCTTCATCCTCTCTACAAGCTGTCCTGGACTGTCTCCTTTCGTTACTGAATACTCCTCTTCGATGATCAAGGCCCACAAATTGAAAATACGTTTGAAATTTCTCCAGACATGCCTCAGTGAAAAGTTATGCCTAGATCAATCCTCCCACAACGTGTCCTGAAGATGTCTGACCGCCCCTTTGATGAGTTCCAAGAAATCATCCTTAAGAAACATTTTGAAATAAAGAAAATTGAAGTGGATGAAGCCTTCCATATTGTAAGACAAAAAAAGCGTGCTTTTAATATGACCATACCGAGTTATTGGAAAAAGTTCATGTTGGATTACTGTTTTGATAACCTGAGACGTGAGCGTTCTGATCTTCAAGCTAAGATAGACCACAAATTGGCACTCCTTATTAGAAATAGTGACTGGACTAAGGATGCCAATCAAAACTGTGTAGTGAATCTCTCCTCTAAACAACTAGACAATAATACCTTGTGTGCCCTCGGCTATGGTTTAAGTTTTGATGGTTCTAACAAGGGAGTCGACAGTGTTGACATAGCCAGAGCATTTTGCAATTTGGAGAAATTCAGTAATTTGACAAGTGAAGAAGTGAACATGTGTAAAGGTGTTGTGTATGCATCGATGTCTAAGCCTTGCGTTCCAAACTGTCCAGAAAGATTCACCAAAGCAATCCAAGCCCTTAAGAAAAATAAGGATCTACTTGTCACTAAAGCAGATAAAGCCAACACAGTTGTGATTTTAAACAAAGATGACTATATCTCTAAAATGAATGACCTTTTATGTGATACTACAACATATTCTAAACTCATAAATAATCCTCTCAACACTGTCAACACCCAGTTCAACAAAAAACTGAAGTCTCTATTGAGAGGCAAAGCTACTCTCATTAAACATCTTACTTCAACGTCCCCTCCACTGCCATACATGTACGGTGTAATCAAGACCCACAAGCCCAATAACCAAGCAAGACCCATCATTAGCTCAGTTGGGTCAATTCCTTACAAACTATCTAAATGGTTAGTTTCTTTACTAAATCCCCTAGTTGGCAACATTTCTAATTCCAATATCAAGAATAATATGGATTTGGTTGATAAACTCAATAGCTTACACATTAATTATGATTTTAAACTGGTAAGTTTTGATGTAACATCACTCTTTACAAAGGTCCCAGTTGATGATTTACTAGAGTTCCTCATAGATTCCCTGGAAAATATTTCACTGCCCGTCTCGAAAGACGACTTCATCGAACTCATCAAACTATGTATTAAGGATTGCAAATTTGAATTCAATGGAGAATATTATGCTCAAAAATTTGGGATGGCAATGGGTAATCCACTCTCACCTGTATTGAGCAACCTATATATGGAATTCTTTGAAAAGAAACTATTAAGTAATATTTTACCACCTTCAGCAGTCTGGTTTAGATATGTTGATGATGTATTATGTCTCTGGCCATGTAATGAGGACCTAAAAGCTTTCCTGCCACAACTTAACAGCTTAGCCCCCTCGATCAAATTCACTGTGGAATTAGAGCAAGACTGTAAATTGCCATTCCTAGACTGTCTGATACACAGAATAGGTAACACTTTTAAGTTCAGTATTTATAGGAAACCAACTAATGTGTGTTCATACATTCATTATTATTCTGCTCACCATAATAAAGTCAAACAGTCAGTATTTTCAACAATGTTTTTACGTGCTTTGAGAGTTTGCAGTCCGGAATTCATTGATGAGGAATACAAATATATATATAATATTGGCTCAAACCTTAAATACCCTTGATCTTTCATAGACAAATGCCTAAACATTACTAAGAAAACTTTTTATAGAACTGATCCCAAGCCCACCCATGACCATAAGAATATCTTAATATTACCATTTCACAAAAATTTCTCACACATTCCTTCACAACTAAAAACCTGGAACGTCAATGTGGCATTTAAAAATCATGCACTGTTAAACAAATGTTAATCAAGAACTCCCCCAACAACACAATTGGTTGCATTTATAAAATTCCTTGCAAGGAATGTAATATGTATTACTTAGGCCAGACAGGTAAAGATCTTGCAACTAGAATTAAACAACACAAATACAGTGTTAGGACAGGCCAGGAATCCAATGCTCTGTTTGTTCATTTGAGGGATAACAAGCATTGCATTGACTGGGATAATGCCTCCTCAATATTACCGTGTAATTCCATTGATAGTAGGAACATCGTAGAATCTAGTCTTATGAAACATACCGAAGCATTCAACATGAATTTGAGTAATGGCATGTACAAACTGGACAGTTTTGTAATTAAGATGATTTGTAACCAGGTGAGAAGGTCGGGTCACCTTACCATCTGACCTGACCACCAACCGTTGTGTGCTATTTAAAGATTAGTAGGGTCATTACCTAATACCTGACCATTGTGGACCTGGTCTCACCCTCCTCTGTATATATACACCTTGGTTTGTATTTCTCTTTAGTCTGTACTCACCCCTGAAGATGTGAATTACACGAAAGCGCTTGGGAACTTCGTGTTTTCTTCTTTCCTTGTGGTTATCAGCATATATATATATATATATATATATATATATATATATATATATATATATATATATATATATATATATATATATATATATATATATATATATATATATATATATATATATATATAAAATATCACAGATCAAAGCCAAAAAAAATACTAATTAACTTCTTATGGTCGCTGCATGGAATGTAAGGACCCTTTTGGATAATGGTACAAATGAACGTCATGAAAGACAAACCACCCTTGTGGCATAGATCTATCTAGTTATAACATCGACATATCAACCATTAGTGAGTGCCGGCTCCCAGACAAGGGTCGACTCACAGAACGAGAGTCCGGCTATACCTTCTTCTGGAGGCGTAAGCCTGCTGAGGAAAGAAACAGCATATATGAAGCTGGGTTTGCCATCCGCCAATCCATCCTACATAGGCTAACTGAAATGCCTGTTGGGATCAACGAGCGCCTCATGATGCTTCGAGTCCCACTGAATCACTCACGTCATGCCTTGTTCATCAGTGCATACACCCCAACACTGGATGCAGAGGATGACATTAAGGAGGCCTTTTATGCCGACCTTGACAGTGCTAACCTCCACTCCCAGAAAGGATAAGGTTGTGCTACGAGACGACTTCAATTCCACAGTTTGTAGAGATGCTGACTTATGGCAAGGACCCACAGCAAACAACACAAATCCTAGTGCCGAATGGAGTATCCTCGACTCTGTCATGACAAAAACCGAAGAATACACCAGAACTGGTTTGATGAAAATTACCCAGAAATCAACGTATTTTTCGATGATAAACGTGCTCTTTTAGCTGACTGGCAGAATAACCCTCAGTCACGGACCAAAGCTGAAACCTTCCACGAGAAAAAAAGCGGCGGCCCAGCGCAAGCTTCGAAATCTAAGGAACAAATGGTAGAAAAATAAGCGTATGGAACGCAAAAATTTTCAGATCATCACATGATGCACGATTTTTTCAATTTCGCTCAGAGTTTATATGGCCCAATGACTGATGGCACGGCCTCCCTCCTCTCATCCGATGACAAAAAAAAGCATCCATCAGCACTGGAAAGAGCACTACCATTTGCTGCTTAACCGAAACACCGATGTCGCTGTCAAGACTATGCAGCAGGTCTCTCACCACCCAGAGCTGACCAACGTCATCTATTCTCCATCCCTGGATGAGGTAGGTACTGCCGTCAAGCAGACGAAAAATAACAAAGCCACAGGACTTGATGGTATCCCAGCCGAGGTATGTAAAGCAGGAGGACATCTGCTTACCAGCCGTCTCTACTCTCTCCTGGAGAATATATGGGAGAAGGAGGAAATCCCCTAAGCTCTTAAAGACGCCTCCGTCATTAATATTTAAAAGAACAAGGGAGACCGGTCAGACTGTGGCAACTACTGCTGGATATTGATGCTGTGCATAGCAGGCAAGAATATCGCCCGAGACCTTCTAAACAGATTTCTTCCTGAGGCTGACTCACCCCCCCCCCCTAATCTCAATGTGGCTTTAGACCATCACCTGGCACCACTGATAGATCTTTGCTGCCCGTCAGATACAAGAAAAGTGCAAAAACCAGCGTCGAGACTACTACATGGCCTTCATCGACCTTACTAAGGCCTTCGACTCGGTCAACAGGGAAGCTCTCTGGTTGCCCACCCAAATTCATCGCCATTGTGAGGCAACTCCACGATGGCATGAACGGCAGTGTCCTGCACAATGGCACCCATTTTCTTGGCTGCCTTCTTTACTCGTGCAAGTGCCAATTTAGTACTGTATGAGAGGTCCTTTCAACATAAGACGACTCCAGGCATGAACAAAGGTGCCGGCCGCTTCAATCACTGAACTTCAGTATGCAGACGACCCACCTCACCTCACCACAGATGCGTATGCACACTTCGGCCTAGAGGTGAACGTACGTAAAAGTCAGGTTCCCTTCCAGCCTGACCCTGGTTCAACCACACCTCCTCCATCCATCCAGGTTAACGGGATTACCCTTTTAATGTTATCTACTTTCAGTATCATGGCTCCCACCTTTCCACCACCGCGGACATCGATGAAGAGCTTCATCATTAGATCAGATGTGCATCTGAAACCTTTGGTAGACTCCGTACCCGTGTTTTCAGCTGCAAGGAGCTGAAATTATCTCCAAAGTTGCAAGGTTATGGAACAGTAGTCGACATTCCGTTCTCCGACTTCGCTTAAAAGGCAAGAGAACAAATGCCTGTATTCTCGGTGACACGAACTGTAGCACCATCGAGGCAACCATTCTAAACATGGTTACCATGTTACTAGCATGAACGACAGTAGACTGCCAAACCACATACACGCCATTCACAGTAAAGTCAATAAACAGTGCTGTATCATGTAACACACTCGACAGTCACTCACTCTCACAGTCTCACAGCAATGAAAGAAATCTATCATGATCGTGTTTACCAACACCTGATTCACTGTCACACACTATGGGGGGCCTCTGGCTCTTCAAAAACACAATCCCTGGTTACAGCACAAAAAACAGTTGTACAGACAATGACATACTTGAAAAAAAACGGATCACACAAACGAAAAATTTGCTAAATTGTAAATGTTAAAATTCGAAGATATTAACACCTACTGCGGTTCCCTCTTTGTTTACAAATCTATCAATTACTTGCTTGACAATAATTATTTTCAGTTCCGGAATAATCAGAGATACAACTTAAGGCACCCAGAGCTACTAAGATCCCCCCCTTCCATGCGCTCCTCTCAGTCCCAGACCTCCATAAAATATCACGGTGTGAAGGTGTGGAACAACTTGCCCCAACCCATCCGAGCAAAGACTTCGCTCTCTTCCTTTAAATCATCTCTTAAAAAATATCTATTGTCTATGTATTAATATTTCTTGTAAAGCCAACTATATTTACAGTACCTGCTTTTATTGTACCATCAAACCATTCTATCGGAAATTATCATGTAAATAGATAAGAAATTACCATTGCAATAAAAATATTTGCCAACTAGATATAATCCTGACAGCTCTGTCCTCTTGTTCAACCTTAATACTGCACAACCCATGTTGTACTGCTCCCCCATTATACTTATGTTTTTCAATACCACTGTTATTTATGTATATGCTTATAATATAAATAAACAATAACAAATAAATGATAAATAAATAAAATAAATAAATATTGAAGTGATAAGAGTGGTAACATTATGAGATATTCTTATCACCACCATGCTATTGTACTATTCCAGATGTTACTAAATGTTACATAATACTTCCTTGAGATAAATGTATAGTATATATCAGGTGCCTACGAGAGAGCTCAGGTTCTCAATTGGCTCAGCCATGTTAATATTGTTATTAGTATCCACTCTGTATCTGTGTTTTTCTGGCTAATTAAACTGTTTCAATTCAATTCAAAGCAACTACTTTATAGTCACCTAATGTATGGTAAACGTAGCGCTGGGAGACGATCACTCCACACCGTAACTCATTGAAGCGCACCATACAAGAAGGTTTCAATAATTTCGAGTTAGCCAGACTTCATACCGAGGCAGACTAGCGCCAGCGCCGGAAAGACGCTGCCGCCGTCCGTTCCATACTAGTTGTAGCCCTCCACACGTGTAACATCAGTGGACGGCCCTGCCGTTCTATATCGGCCTCTCGAGTCACCTCAGAGCTCTCTCATATCATTATATCTTAGCTGGATGATCGTTATCCTCCATTTCGAGTGGCCGTATATCACCGTAACTTAGCTCTCGATGCTGCACACAGGATGAACGAGAACGACAAGATAAGAGTATTCGGGGAGAGAATTCAGAACGTTGATCAAGGCAGCTTCACTCCTCTAGTGTTAACAACCTCTGGTGGGATGGGACCAAGTGCAAGATGCTTCTACGCCAGACTCGCGGAGATGATATCCGAACAGAAGCAGGAGCCCAGAAGTTATGTTACAGCCTGGATGAGATGTCGACTGTCCTTCTCTCTCCTTCGGTCGGCTTTGCTCTGCCTCATGGGAACGAGAGCGTCGGCCCCAAAGCCGACAACAGTTGCAGATTTTGACTATTGGGCAACAGTCATTGAATGCCGCATAGATTTGCGGCTCAACTAACTCAACACAGCTAGGATAGCTACTTATGTATTAAGATATTTAATATTAAGGTAATAAATGGCGGCGAAGGTGTGGCTATCGGGGGAGGCTGAAGGCTACGTTAAAAAAAAAAATGTAGTAGAAGTAGCATTGATTTTGATTTTGCCGCTTACAGAGGCTACTTTATTGTGCACCCCACACTCATCCTGTGAGCGGTAGCGCAAAAGGATGACAGAGTAGAGTTTACAACGGGTCATAATAATTAACCCCAGTTGTCAGGATATTATGGCACTGAATGTTACACAGTATTTCAATTACATTATTTGTTTAGTTCTATACATAAAGGGTAACTTATTCACAAATGCGTGAGCACAGGCGTGTGAGGCAGTATGTCTGGCCGCACACTTTGTTATTCACATTTACGTGAGAAGTATTCAAGCACATTGCGTATTTGGTTCTGTACATGAGAACTGATATAGTTACTAAGTGCAAAAAAGTGGATACAATCTTAATATGTCGGCTATCTTGCCATTAGAGATGAAGTGTTGTGCCATTTCACACACAGTGTGCTTGGACCTGTCCCTAAAAGGTTCCATCTTCACACAGTCGAGGACGTAGTGTTCAAGTGTGTGGCCATATGTCTGGCTACACACTTTACATTTAGTTTTGTTTACACCTGCTTGAGGAACATACTGCCAAAGGTACTTATATCCTAACCTTAATCTAGCGGTTACAACATCTTGTAATCTAGTGATCTTGTTACTTGCTCCATATACATGTTTCACTTGATATATCTCATCATGGTAAACTATGGATCGACTAGTGTCTGTTTGCACTAGTCTACTTGCGTCAAACTCATCAATAAGTTCTTTCCTAATTACAGTTTTAAGGGTTCTTTTTGACAGACCCAAATTCTATTCAACGGTGTCTTTGTTTGACGAGAGTTTGGCGAGGGCATCAACTCTGTCATGTTTTATGAGGCCTTTGTGAGAGGGGAGCCACAGCAGTTTGACCTTGACACCCCGGTCAACAAGGCACGCATATTTGTGTCTGGCTTCAGAGACAAGAGCGTGACAACCTGAGTCGAGGGTGCCAAGGGCAAGTAGTGAGGATAGAGAGTCAGTGATGATGAGACTGTCAGTAACAGTGATTTCAATGAATTTAATAGCTGAGAGTATGGCAACTAATTCAGTTTCTTGAGTGGTTGCCCCAGTTGTTAATTCTAACTCCTTTCTCATTTATATTACCGTTAGGTTGAGTCACAACAATAGCATTTCCAGCCCTCCCACAGGCGGTGTTAAGAGATCCATCAGTGTAGATGGTCTGTGTGATATTATCATCAGTCTATAGAGTGTGTATGTGTTCAAGAGCTCTCACTTTGGCAGTGTGTTGGAGATAAATGCTTTGTATAATTAATTTTTTAGGCGGATACGTCGGTATTGTGATATCGAAGGGAACTGTCCGCCAGGGTGGCAGGAAACGCTGTTGTGTCTCAACTTTGTACAGGTGGTCTAGTCCAAACATCTTCATATGTGTAGCTGTAGTTTGGATCCATTTAGACTCACCAGTCCTATGGTTCATACATTCTAGCAATTTTAAGGAAACAATGTTATCGGGATCACCACGCAGAAGCCTCAGGGCTATCATGAGGTTGACTTCAATTATTCTATCTTTAACACTGGGTATACTTAGTTCTTTCCTCATATTTAGTACTTTAGTGCTCATGGGACATCCTATGATAATTCTGAGGGCTTTATTTTGCATTTTCTCGAGCTTGTCAACGCCTTTCCCGTCACGAAGGACCAGGGCTGGTGCGTGGTAATCTATCAGAGATCT